GCTCGCCAAGTGTCCAAGATTATTGGCATTGAGATGGTGGAGAAGGCAATAGAGGATGCCAGGTGGAATGCAGCATTCAATGGTGAGTTCAAACTTGCCATGGCAGAGAGTTTCGAGCTAACTGCTGAAAAACTGGAAGCAGAACTGAGCAGAGGGATGCTGACAAGTCACCTCCACGCAGCAAAAGGTGGTACTTTGTGTTACACCTGATGTCTGGTGAGACTGGCTCTGCTCAGTTCGTGCGGTTGCTTTCTGCTTCACAGGAATTTCAAACTGTGAGTTTCACAGTGGAAAGGCAGAGGCCGTATTACCACAGCTCCTGTCATCGTGGGAGGAAGCCCGACCCGTTGTTGCTGTGGTGAACCCATCCCGGGCTGGGCTCCGTAAGAGAATATGCTATTTATTTTCACCTTGAAAGCAGGGAATTTTGAACAAGCTCCATGAGACCTCTTACACTGGCTCCAAAACCCCTCTTTAGTCTCTAGTTTCTTACCTTGGTGCTAACAGCAGCTAAAATCCCATGGTCTGCTGTTTCCAGTGCCTTTGTCATGCGTTCTCTTTAAAGCAGACAGCTCTAATATTTTCCCCATCTTTCATGGCTTCTCAGAATCATTTAGGAGAGAAGGAGCCTCTGAAGGCCTGTGTGCAATCCCCCAACTACAGCAAGGCCAATTTCAGAGTTGTATATGGTTGCACAGGGCTATGAAGCACAGCTGAGGTTTGAATGTGTCCAAGGGTGGATAATATCTCCTGATTTCTTTTTTTTCCCTAATACTCCCTACATTTCCCCTTGCTGCAGTGCATCTGTTGCCTCTCACCCTCTTCTCACGCCCCTCTGAGAAGATTCTAGCTCTGTCTTTTCTGTAATCCCCCATGAAGCCACTGAAGATAGCAAATGGAACCCTGCTCACCTTCTCTTTCCCAGGCTGAATAACCCCAGCCCTTACACACTCCTTGTGCATCCTGTGCCCCAGCCCTCTAACCGTTTTAGTTGTCTCTGCTGGATTTGCTTCGGTGTGTACTAGGAAGTCCCAGGCTGGTCCTGATGCAGTCTCACAAGTGTGTGTGATGTGCAGTTGTGTGATGGTTCCTGTGCAATCATTCCTTCTGGAGAGCTCATGGTGGTGGAGGGTGACTGTGAAGCACGGTATCTGTTTTCCCAGATTACAGGGTTGTGCGAGCCATCCGAAACTGCAAGTCCATCAGAAGGCTGCTTTACATCTCCTGCAAGCCAGAGGGTGAAGCCATGAGGAACTTTACTGAGTGAGCACTCTCCTCTCTTCTTTTCTTCCACTGACTTAGTGACAGGGACAGACCTGGTTATGTCAGACAAGGACATAAATATCTGACCTCGGCTTAGGAAGGTTTTTGTTGCAACTGAATTGCACTGGGTGAGTTCTGCAGGTGTGGCCCAGGACTGGTCAGTGCATGGTCAGAAGTGGTTTATGTGTTACTCTGGGTTTACCTGTAAGCTATACTTCCTGGTTTAAGGTAGTGGGTATTCTTTGGGGTTTGTGTTCCAGCAGGATACTTTACTACATCAGTGTGGAAGAGCACATGTGCTATAACGGCATTGTGCATCCTTCCCTAACAAAATAGCCCATCTGTGTGTGGGATACAGAGTCCACTGGGTTCACTGCAGGGGGGTTGGCCCCAGGCTAATGAAGTACAGCCAAGGGGATTTAGTCACCTGCTGTCAGGGTCCCACTGGAGAAAACCCCAGTGCCGGACCCTGTTTCAGTTCATGATCCCAAGAGTGAAATTAAGATGCAAATGAGGTCAAGTACCCTCATCATTAAAAATTACAAAAAGACAGTTTTTATAAAAAAGGGAAATGATTGTAATAAAGGAGATAGTGATAGGAGAGATTGGAAAAAAGTTAGAAAATGAAGCAAGGATTCAGGGTGCAGAGAGTGAGAGCGAGCAATAGTCACCACTGGGGATCCATTGTCATCGTCACTGATGGTGATGGGAGTTCTTCAGGGTTTGTAGTTGGAATGGGAGCAAAGTGTCCCCCAAGAGTCCATCAGAGGTGGGTGTCCTCCTGGAGGTGTCCTTCTGGAGTCATCCCCTTGAAGGTACCCATGGAGTGTGTTTTGTGGAGTTGCCCTCATGGCGATGTCTCATGGAGGGTGTCCCTCAGGGTCTGTAGTAGTCATCGGTGGAGAGTGTCCTCACGGAGGTGTCCTTCTGGAGTCATCCTCATGGCAATGGCTCCCCGGAGATGTATCCCTTGGTGATTACCTCCTTCCCCTTTTATAATGAGCGGGGGGAGTACCCCTGCTCTTCATGTCACCTATTGCTAGTTCCTGGTGGACTAGTTTCCCTGGTCTTGCAGCCAGCTCTTCAACTGCACACACACAGGTGCCTGCAGCAATTCTTGGGATAATGGGTAGCAATTCCTCACACCAGTCCTAGAGGTAATGGACTGAAGAGTCCTTCCTACTGAAAGAGCTCTTTCCTACTCATCCCTCAGGCAATGGATGGTGGAGTCCCAGTTCAGCTCCTCACACCCTTCTCACAGGCAGTGGATATTGGAGTCTTATCTCAACTCCTCCCACCCATCTCTGAGACAAAAGATAGGTGGATTTCCATCTTAGCTTCTCAGACCAGTCTTTGAGACAATGGACAGTGGAGTCTGATTTCAGATCAGTCTCTTGCACCTGCTTAGTGTTAATCATATAGCCAAGTCTTTATCCAGAGCAGGCCTATTTGTAGGTGATAAATCTGTCTGCAGGTAACCAATGAAGGTGGTGCAAAACTGAGGATTATTTCCTAAGGGTATTGTCTATCAGCTGGGATGGCTTGTGAGAAAGGGAGCTTTAAACCTGCCACTGACTCTTCAGCTTGTCCATGAGGTTTTCAGGGCTGGTTTGGGGTTCAGTATTGATGGTTCCACACCTCAGCCTGTGTCAGCTGAAGACTCAGAGTGATGTTAGCCAAACACATGATGCCTCCGTAGTACATTCTCTGTGCTACTGTACACACGGTCTCTCCCACATGATACACATTTTCTGCTACTGGTCTAAAGGATGCTCTCTTTGCTTTTCACAGGTTGTGCTGCCCACCTGACCCAGGGAAGAAACTGTTAGGAGACCCATTTACCCCCACGTTGGCTATACCTTTTGATATGTTTCCTCATACTGTTCATTGTGAGCTGGTGCTGCTGCTAACCCGCTAACAAGGACATAGGTATGCCAGCTCTGAGAGCTTGGGAAGCAACCTCCTGCAGTACTGAAGCCTGGAGTCTACGTAGTGATGGATTTTAACTTATTTTGTTGACATTTGTATTTAAAAAATAATTTTGCTTTTGCTCTTACTTTGGGTTGCCTCACACTGTTTTGTAAGGAAACACTCAGATTTCTGGGATGAAAAAGTTCTCTGTAGCATTTCATCACCCTTCTCTCCCCTGCATCCCCGCCTCTTCATGGGATGCTGGTTAAAGCAGCCTGGAAAATACGCTCCCCCTGCTATTGTGGGTTTTCACCATCAACATGTGAATATGGAATACTAAAATCCACTCTATTTTCAAGTACTGCATGCTGTTAGTTCTCTGCTTGCTTCAAGAATTTTTCAAGTTGATAGTGAATTTGCAATGAAGAAACAGTAGGAACTAGACACCCTCATGTTTCACTGGGAAAATGTGGACTTTTGGGGTCAGGGGAATGTTTCCTGTGTAAACTTCCAAACCCACTACTGAATCACTGTCAGTCATGTGGGTATGATGGAGGCAGTGGGGAAGATTTGTCTATAAAATGAAGAGAGAATAGGTTTCAGCATGTTCCATCCTTGCCATTCTCTGCTAATCCTTGTTGATAACCTAAATATGAAGTGCCTTGTGAAAATGTCAGCAGCAACAAGTTATTTCCTCATCAGGTTGCTCTGCTATAGCCAATTCAGAAATTTGCTGTGTTTTGTATCTGTCCTGCCATGCTCACTGACTGGCAAGCTGTGATCCTTGTTCTCCTCAACTCTTCAAAAGATGGAGTTGCTACAACCTGGAGACAGGTCTGAGTGAGCAGTCCCCTTGTGTTCGTGAACTCCACGCTGTTTACAGGGCTCCTTTTATTCTTCTAATTTTTACTTTTGTGTTGTATTGAAGTTACCTTTTGGTTTATCCTGGTCATCTGCACCAGAGCAGAACACTTACCTGCAGTGAGGCTGTTAAATTTGACTCTTTCCTCCAGAAGAGGAGTTCCCTATCTGATCTGGCTGAATCAAGGCTGACAAACTTCCAAGGAAACAGAGCTGCCTCTGTTTTTCAGACTTCAACTCCAGTCCTAAGCAACTGTGAGCTTGGAATAATAACAACAACCACCATGTCTCAAGCCATGAGAGCTTAAAATACATACCTGAGACTTACTACAGTAGAAAGGGGAGATGATGGGGGGATTCCTGCCAGGCATAGGAAGTGTCACTCTTGTGTTATCCCATGAGAATTTTGCACACTGTTACAGCCTTTTGTTTCAGTTAATAGCAAGGGATAGAGTTTTCCAAAGTTGTTTCATATCATTACACCCTGGCTTCTCACTGTGAGATCTGAATGGATTTCTGCTTAGCCTGGATACGGTTTTGTCAAAAGGAAATGTGTTGCAACTTAGAGGGGGAGAGATTATGACTTTTAATCAGAAAGTAACAGAGGATCAGGAAACCTTTCCAATACTCTGGTGAGCTGAAGACACAGGACGCTTTATCTGCAGTGGGGAAGGGTGGCACAGTGGTCTCACTCTTTTGGGCGTCAGGTTTCAGGACAGCCACAGGGACATCTTTTTTTGCTTATTTGGGGACAAATACACAGCAATAAACCCCCATATTGCTTAATAAATTAGTGCCTGAGCACCTGAAACTGAAAGCCGCCTATGTTCAAGGGACCTCTGACCACTCCACAGCAGGTTGCTCCCCTGCCTTCTGCTAGCACGTCCTTGTTTTCCTAGCAACTGCACTATGCTTTGTGCATCCTGCATCCCTAGAACTGGCTCAGTTTCGGCTTTCTGTGTGTAATGTATGCAACGTTCAAGGAAACAGAGGATGACTTCATGGTAGGAGGGGTGAGAATACTCATTGCCTGGCAGGTGCTAGAGCTGCCTGGCTCTGCCTGCGTGGCTGCGGGGCATTAGGACCCGGAGGTTGCTGAGCGGAGGAGGCTGAATTCCCCTCCCGCTGTCATCCTGCTGCCTCTGCAGCTTTATTCCTCATCTCCTTCAATGGTGGCTGACAGCCTCCCGTTCGGGCGGGCAGCCACAGCGAGAAGGCCTCGCTAGGACTCGTTCCCTGCACCTCCATGGCATCCCCCAGGACCATCACCATAGTCGCCCTCTCGGTGGCCCTGGGGCTCTTCTTCGTCTTTATGGGGACCATCAAACTGACCCCTCGGCTCAGCAGAGATGCCTACAATGAGATGGTGAGTACGGCAGCGGCAACATGGAGGGAGAAACATGGGGGCTGTCTTCTCCTCAACCCTGCGGCAGAAGCACTGTTTGCAGTGGGATATACGGAGGGTGACTGCTCCGGGACGCTGAGCGATGGGGGGGAGAAGGAAGAAGCTTATCTGTCTCTCTATTTGATGGACACAAGTAATACGCATTGCCATGGATATCCTGGCAGCCGTCGCTGGGCTCTGTCTGAGTGTATCCATGGAGAAACCTCTTGTGGAGGGGAGGGAAGGAGGACACCAATGCCTGCAAAATATCGGGATGCAAGGGTCTCAGAAAAGGCAGGTCTGTAGAAGTGCCAGACATGTAGCAGGCAGGTACAGCTGATCCCTGAGGGAATACCTACCCCTGGACTGAGGGTAGGAAAAATCAGATGCCTGCTTTGGCAGCCAGGTTGTCATGCTCAAAATTCTGTGCTGTAAAGCAAGGATAATGACACTGACTGTCCCTACCTCACCAGACTGAGCAGGGATTAATTCATGCCTGTGAAATGCTTTGAGATTCTTAGCTGGCAGAAGAAGATATTATTAATAGTCACCTTATCATTAGCCTGGGAAATAAGCCTCTCCTCCTTCTGCCTAATGGAAAGGGGTGAGGAGAGGATAGGGAAGTCACTGTGTGCATTTCCCAGCTGGTGAGCTAGTGCTGCTCATCCCTGCCCAGGGCCAACCCTGCTGCAGAGCTTTGCTGGCTGCAAGCTGCAGGCAGGCAGCTGCCACATCTTGCTGCCTTGTCCATGTTTGTTTATGCTCCTGCTGGCCCCTGTCACATTTATTGCAGTGGCTGAAATGCACTGGTATAATTTTTGTGCCCCTTGAAAATACAGGGCTAGAAGTTTCCAGCACATTCTGTTCTCTCCCCTTGCTCCACCTGCCCAGCTGCTTTTGCTTAGCTCTCAGGTAACATCTGAATCGCAGTGCCTCATCTGCAGCCCAGCACAGGGATCTCACAGAGAGGAATCTCCGAGAAGAGACTCGGGAGCAAGAGGCAGAGATGAAACGCCCAAGAAACAAGGCTCTTAAGCTTCTGGTACATAAGGGACAGAACACAGCACTGAGACTTTGCATTGCAAAATCCTTGCTCTGTAAAATATTTCACTTCCCTCTCCCTTTCTGCTTTACCAAGAGCCAGGCCTACAGTTAGGAATGATCTCCATTTTTAGAAAGACAACACAGAGGCACTGCTGTTACACAGCACCATCATTCTTCTATCATTCTTATCAGGCTCATATTGTAACATGTTCACGGCTCATTAGGCTTTCATGCTTTTGCTATGCTGCATACCAGGGTGGTCTGCCATGTAATAGAGACAGTGAAAACCTGATTTTGCTCATCAATAAGCATGGCTTCTTGCCCCAGGCAAATAAGAGAACCGTTGTTACCTACCTGCAACACCAAACTTGAAGCTTTTCATTCAGCAAATGCCAGACACACTAGTTTGTCTATTAAAATACTTCAAATACCAGAGTACTCTAGGACATGCTGATAGTGCATTTCTTTAAAGAGCTGTATCTTTCACAACTGTACTCTGCTCTGAGGAGAGGTTTCATCCACTGATGGTTTAAAATCCATTCTTATTAATAAATACACTTGGAGTAACTGTGTCATGAGATCTTCAATTACTTGCTAGCTGTGTATTTTTGAAGTGCCAGATCCTCTTAGGAGAAAGCAGGAAAATTTACAGAGAAGTAGGGAAGTTCTGTGTGCCTCTAGTGCAGGTTTCCAAAACCACATGGAAGTAAATGTACAATGGGATTAGTGCCTGTGGGAGCTGAACAGCTCTGTACCAGAGATTTGACTTCCATTTCCCTCTCCCTGATTAGAAAGCAGCACAGTGGCAAGAGTATCCACAGGGACAGTATACTCAAGTGTAAGTGGAAATAATTTCAGTGTCTCAATAGCTAGGAGCTTTATTAAAATATATATAAAAGGAAATAATTGAAAAAGAAAACAAACCCAACTAGCCCCCAAGCACCTAATGTTCAAATGCAAGAACTTAAATGTGTGTAAGGACAGAGGTTGTTTCTTCTCTGAAACAATGAGGCAGCCGTGTAAGGAGGCTTAGTCTTCCAACTTACACTGCTTCTAAACCCAGCATAAACCAGGAAGCAGAGGATATCACAGGTCAGTTTGCTTTCACCTGAGGAAAGAAAGGATCACAAAGGTATATAAGCACAAAATAGGGTTGTTGAATCTCAGCTTTCATGTATAGTGTCATGCTAAGATTGTACTGCTCCTAAACACTAGGATATTGTAAGTTGCTGCGAGGTAGAAAGAGACTTCTCTTTTTCCTTGCTATGCCTTGGCTTTGCAGGGACTAGGTGTGTTATTTACTTAGGGACTAGCTACTCCTGGAGAGAGGTACTTTTTTTTTTAACAACATGGTTCTGCATTGCTAATTCTAGCAATTGTAACTTCAGATTTCAGGAGAGGAGGGTACACCTGGCCTGGTCCTAGCTCCAGAGATGGGTGTTAGGCTGCAGTACTGTTTTCCAGCAAGGAGGCAATAATTTACAAAGGGGAATTGCAGGTTGATGGTATTAATATTCCCCCAACAGAAGCTTTAGGGGTACAGACTGGGTATTGTGCCAGAGGGTGATGTATGAAGTGATCCTTAGGTCATACTATACAGCAGTCTATTTAAAAGGAATTCACCTTTGCCTTTACTTTCTCACATTGTGGCGTTCTACTCTATTACTGCTTGATTTCAGAAGCGAGCATACAAAAGCTACGTGCGGGCCCTCCCCATGCTGAAGAAGATGGGAGTCAGCTCCATCCTCCTCCGCAAGAGCATTGGTGCCCTAGAAGTGGCGTGTGGCATTGTCATGACACTGGTGCCCGGTCGCCCCAAAGACGTGGCCAATTTTCTCCTCCTTCTCCTTGTGCTGGCTGTGCTCTTTTTCCACCAGCTAGTGGGGGATCCACTCAAGCGTTATGCCCATGCTCTGGTCTTTGGGATCCTGCTTACCTGTCGCCTGCTGATTGCCCGCCAGCCAGAGGAGCAGCCGCCAGAAAAGAGGATGCTGTCAGTGAATGGGGATGAACAGCCACTCATCAATGAAGCAGCTCCTGAGAAAGGCAAAATGAAGGTATCCTAGTTGAGTGCGTGTGAGAAATACGGACCCTCGAGGCAGCTCTCTCCTGAAAATCACCCAGAAAAAAATTGTTTTTTATTTACCTATTTATATTTTTTCGTCTGTCTAAATAAAGTTGCACTTGGGGTCTGAGAGACACGTGGTATGTGTGCACTGTAGTCTTGCTTTTGCTGCTGCCCTGTAATGTAGATAAACACAAGCTAGCTTTCACTGGGATAGCTTGGAGGCAGTGAACAGCCTGGCTGGAGTATGCTGGCGTCAGCAGAAGCTGCAAAACCAGCCTGAGAGCATAGGCAAAGACTTGGACAGGTAATCATTGACAGTGCTAGCTTGGCACTGCTGCACTGGGGAGAACACATCCTGAGTAACAGCTGAAACCTGGCCTGGAAGCACTTCTGCTATATGGCAGGCTCAGCAGCAGCAGCTGGGTAGAACATAAGCTGGATGACCCTGTGCTGGCTTGCGTAGCCCCATCCACAAATCTATGTTTCCTTCTCCATGGTCAAGGGGAGAAAGGACCCTACCAAGCATAAAAGTGCTCCTGTGTTTAAGAGAGGGGTCCCTTAGGGGCTGCTTCCTCTGTGCCCAGTCCCTTCTTTGGACATCTAGGGAAAGCATGGGGTGCCCTATTTACATCTTTCTCAACTTCCACACTTTGCAGAGGCTCTAAAACTGGGACAGTGGCCTGATAAAAGTCATTTTTTGCCCACTTCACACAAGGCAATGGCACCTCTTTACCCTTCTTTGCAGAAAGGAAGGATCCCTGGTGAGGGGATGGGGAGCAGAACTGCTCAATGAACTCAAAAGATCTGTCTGCTGTTGGCAAATAGCATCATGCTCCCTATTTCCTTCCAAGAACAAGATTCCTTTTTCCACAACTACTGCAGCTTTATAGAATTGTTGGTTGCTGCTGATAGATGAGGGTCTGAACATGTCCAGGTACCTTGCTGTTTATCCCATGCAGCTTTGGTGAGCCGGGGGAAGTCCTCTCAACAGAGCCTGAATCCGTGTGTTGTATCTGAAACCTTGGAGTGTCATAAGAAGCATGTGTTACCTCTGAGACTGTTTTTCTTGATGTTTGTCTGTTTTCAGTTTTTCCTTGTTTTCTTAATTCCTCACATTAATAAACTTTTTGAAATATGGAGAAAAATGTCTTGATAAAAAAAAATTATCTATTTTTTTTTTCAAGAGACACATTTGAAAGTATTTTTCCTATGCTCAAACACTGCCCCTAAAATGAGCAGAATCGTATCGGGGGATTTCAGGGGAAGATAAGGTGATGCAGGATCAAAGCCATCTGAATATTACTGGGCTTTACATCAATAACCACAGGCATTTGAAACAAGTGCTTGATCATGAAACAGTCTCAGATAAATTTCTGCTTCAGTACAATGTGTCAGCAAGAAAAGATTAAAACTCCGGTAAAACGTATTATGTCTGTATAAGAATTAATGATGGATGTTCGTACACAGTATATCCAGTTTTCTTCGAAATTTGCTGCTGAAACAGCTGTAATCCCAAATATGTCTATAATATATATGTGCTGAAAAATCTTCCTCCTAGAGCCCCTAAGAGTGACTATTTCTCTCTTATCAGATATGCACCCTGCACAAAGGAAACTACAAACAGGCCACCTTTCTTAGGCAATCTCTCACCTTTACAGACTACCTCAAGGCCATCCCAAATGTATATAGGATTTGCTTTACTTTCCAAAATGCAATTCATCTACCATGCCCTGACTCATTAATCACTTTTTAATGCAAAAGCAAGTATCACCCACTCAGCCCCCACCATGATGCGTTTTCCTACTCAAAATACTCAACTTTTGAGTTGAATTGAGGTGAACTGCAGCCTTTTGGCCAGCTGCCCCTGATACATGCATCTACCCCTGCTGCAAGTGTTCGTGTTTGCCTTTTGTAACGTTCCTCAGTGAAACCTGTAGAGATGCCGTACTAAATGTAAGAATATTCCACATAGCAAAACTTATCGTTGCAAAACCTTCAGACTATAAGTGAATTCTGAAAACCATCCCCTTTTCACATTTGCAGCAGTATAAATTACTGACTGCCAGCAGCAACGTGATCTTTATTAGGGAGGAATACAAAACTCATTTGGGTAACAAGAATTCTGTGTTTATCTATATTGGGTTGACCTCCATCCTTGTCCCCCAGCATCAGCAAACTGTGGAAGCATCTTTGCTTGCTCGAGGTTGTAAGTCACCAAGAACTGATTTAGTCCCTTTGTAAGTCAACGACGCCCATTTACTCTTTTTTTCCCCCTTTCTTTCTTCATCTCCGAGCCCATCATTGCAGGGGGTTGGTCTGGCTGACCTTTGCAGGTCCTTTCAGTCTCACCCCATTACTGAGGGCAGGCACCTCCTAGCGCCATGCTTCCCTCCCCACTGCCAAGACCTATCACAGGAGGGGTGCCTGTCCTGCAGCCTCCCCCAGGGCTCCCCAGAACCGCTGACCCACCCGCAGGACCGGCCCAACATCTCCATCCTCTGTTAAAAACGGGGAAAAAAAGAACCATCCCATCCCACCCCATCACCTCTATCACAGCTCCAACCCTTCGCGCTTCAATACCCCCCGCCATCTGCCTCCCGCCGCCGCGCCACTGCGCATGCTCAGAGCCACCCTGGGCACGGCGGTGGCGCCGCCGTTCTCGGCCAGAGGAGGAGGAGGAGGAAAAGAAAAGGAGAAAGAGAAAGAAGGAAAAGAAACAGAACGAAGAAGAGGAGGACGAGGAAGAGGAGGAAGAGGAAGAGGAGGGGCGCCCGTTGGGCGGGCCCGCCCTGCGCGGGCGATGTGCGCATGCGCGGAGGTTTGAACTGAAGGGCGGTTGGTGCTGGCGCTAAGTGAGGTAACTGTCGGGGCTCCGGGTATGGCAGCCGGGGTAGCCTCGGAGCGGCTTCTTACCCCGGCAGCGGCAGCGGCAGCCGCCTTTGGGGCTACGGAGCCGGCGTGTCCGAGCGCGGCGGTGGAGCTGGGCCGGGAGGGCCTTGTCGCTTTCCGTTCCCTCAGGGCCGCGTCCGCTCTGCTGCGGCCTCCGGGGGCAGCCGGAGGGAGAAGGGTGTCGGCTGGGGGGAGGGGAGGGGATATTCGTGCCCAGTATCCGTGTGGAAGAGTGGATACCCACCGCTGTGTGGTGGTGGGCTCGCTGTTAGTAAGAACTGGTGTTACAGCCTGTGTGGTACTTCTGCCCTAAAGTCTGGTGACCTGCTCGAACCCACCAAGCCTTTCTGGTAGAAATACTGCAAAACAAAAGAAAACTAAATAAACCCATAAAACCAGGTGGAGGTGCCAAGGACTCTGTACTGCGGGTGTGATAAATGAGGGCTGTTGGCTTCCTCTGGTTCCTGAACTGCTTAGAGCATGCTCAGGTGGTTAAAGATGCAACAAGCAAGATTCCAGCGTTTGGGGTCTTCTGTAACTCTTGTATCATGTCAATCCAAGAACGGGGTAGTTGCTATCAGGAATTTTCAGTGTTCTGAAGCATCTCAGTTATTCTTGGTCACCATCATGTAAAGCATCTTTGTGGGAGTTGTGATGTGCTTGGTATTGTCCTTTAATACGGGGGGATACCTTTCACCTGAAGTCAGTAGTTGTCATTTGTAACTGTGAATACCCTGTGTGTGTATATCATCTTGATGTTCCTAGCCAGAGACTTGTTCTTGGTATGCTGCACGGAGAAGTTAGTGACAAACCTGTAGGAAAATAGGGATAATACTAATGTCCTAGGAAAGTGAGAGCTGAAGAGGGAGTAGAGTATAAGTGGAAAATCATTTTTGTTTATTGTGTCAGGAAAGCTTGGAAGCAAAAGATGGGCTCCAGCAATCCAGGGACATGCATCATACTAACAAATCTAGGAAGCTGTAGCAAAGCTTTATGTTTTGTGAGTAAAAGGTTGATCTCTCCAGTGTACTGAGGAGAAAAATGCTGCTTTTCATGGTTTCATTTCACCCAGGGCTAGGCAGTTCTGCAGTGTTGGTAGCTCTTCTGCTTCACTGGGAAGTTTGCCAAAAATATATGGTTTTCAATCTTGGCTGTTACATAAAAAAGTTGCAGAAGAACCTAAATTTTGTAAAATAGGGAGATAAATGTTGTTATGATCATCTAAAATCTGTACGTTGCTTGCAGGAAAGCATGACATGTTGGCAGTTTATATTGACATGCGTAATACACGTGATGAAACTTGGAAGAAAACTGTGGATTGTGTTTTGCTAAGTATCTGATTATGTTAGGTTTTGGGTCAAACCTCTATATGAAATGTTATATCATTTACAATTGAAAGGAGTTTGTGTTAACTTTTACCTGTGGTTTGTTTTCTTCCCCGTTTGAATCAAAGAAAAGAATGGAGTTTTGACACACTGTTATCTGTGCATCTTCTGAATATATTGTATGACCTCTGGGAGGCAGGTGGCTCTAAATGACTTCTTCAGAAGTTATGCTGTTACATTATGTAGGATCCCTCTAAAAGCTATTCTTTTCTTGCAGGGAATTGGCTCTCTGTTCTTCAGTTGTTGGAGGTTTATCTATTTTCTTGCTTCTTTGTAATGAAGGATTGGAACCCATGTGAGAAATGAGTAAAATTCTTCAATCTCAGATGGGAGTCTGAAAAGATGCTGCAAAGTAAGAGTTCTAAGACCCCAAAGGAGCCTCTGCAACAGCACCAGAAAAGCCAGTCTGGTCTCTCTGCATGGTTAAAAGTGGGGAGAATTGACCCTGAAAAGAGTGTTCAGGATCATCAATCTCTCGATGACCAGGAAAATTACAGCAAGCAAGAAGACTCACTGGAGCCAGCTTTGAGCTACTTTGCAAAAGGTAAGAGCAGCTTTCAGGTTAGCTGCCCAAGGTTGAAAAGATAACAACTAAATTCTTAATAACAGCAATAGTAATATTTTTTAAAATATCTAATTTTATCTGCTGTTTTCCCCCTATAATGCCTGAACTTTGTAACGTTTCTTTAATGTCTTAAAAGGATTTTCCCTTTCTGTTAATATGTAATGAACCCAACAAAACCCAATAGCTGTAGGGACAGTTCAAAGAAGTTTTAAATGGTTCATTTTTGATTCAGAAGTTTTCATTCTTGTTTGTCATGTTGTGTTTTTTTATTTTTGTTTTGTTTTTTTTTTTGCT